CTTTCTTCTCTTCAAGGTCCGCTACGACATGTGCATTGAAATTGCCTATTAGAATAATAGATTGCATCATCGGTATTTTGTACAAACCACCATCCTCTTCCTCAAGATACGACTCACATTCTCCCTCCAAATCAGGCTCATAGACCTGAAACAAGGTCCGAGCCTCAGCCTCTTGTAGCTTCAGTTCGAAGATTGCCACTCTTCCGCTTACATGCTTCCATTCCATGGTTCTATTAGCCAGGTTGGCTTCTACCGGAACACCAACACAGGCTTGAGCGCGCCTTGTGATGTCACAGCGGAGTAGAATAGGCTCCACCAGCAAAGGTTCAGAATTCAGAATTCCATATCCTTGGCGATTCGTTGACAAGAATCCACATTTGTCGGGTTGGTATCTTTCGGCCTAATCAACTAGCTTCTGCTCTTTCCGTCTTAGTGAGGATATATTCTAACATCCGACAATATACTCCCAGTGGCGTTATAGTAGCGGAGTCTTTTTTGACGTGCCATAGTGGCACCTCGTTGTCTGCCTCCTCCATTCAGAGCGGGTAAGAGCTTCGTCGCTGATTGTTATTTTTGTCGTCGTTTTGTCGATCTTGCAGTTGTTGCTGTGTCGGTGCGTCCCGGCTGCCATTAGGCGAAGTGCAGGTTCTGATCGTCAACTTGTCACAGCCTGCCTCAGTCCCCGGATGGCCTGCATGGCCCTTGGTAATCCGGGCAACACTGAGTCATCTTAATGCTCGATTATGGCAATACCATGAGAGGAAGGTTACTGAGTTTTATGGAGACCTCGTTACGGTCTCGAATCTTCCTCCTTTCTGACTATGTTTTAAGATCAGCGGCTGTAGAGTTTGGAACTGAAAATTTAGTGAATATGAAGTATATTTCACAGCTAAAGGCTTTTGGTTTCCACAGAGTGACGACTAAATAAAAGACGACCTGTAATTAGAGAAATATGGACTCGTAATGTCAGATAGGATATTGTTCCACTGAAGCAGATACATTTTGCAATACTCTAGTAAAGTAATGGATGGACACGACGGTTTACCCCGCATAAGACGGTCTCTTGTCACTTACGACTGAAATGAGGTATATGTCCTTAATTTCTGGTAATTGTCTCCGCGTTTCTAGTCGTTCGATTTTGCTATCTTACTTGCAAATCAATCAGCACGTTGTATAAAACATCGCCGTTCAGCGACGACGTATTGTTACGCCAGCGGTTGAAATTTCGTGTTTCTTTGGACGTTCAGGAACGTTGTTTCACAGTCAATGTCGGCACAGTGTCATTCTGCAGCTGATTTGAAGGAGAATGGTAACAAATTTTTCATGTGTCACATGTACGAAGATGCAGTCAGTTGTTATAACAAAGCTATCATCAAGAATCCTCAGGTCGCGACTTGTTTTACGAATCGAGCTTTGTGTTATTTGTTCATGCGAAAGTACGATAAGGCCGTGGACGATTGCCGCAAAGCACTGGAGCTTGACCGGAAGTCCGTAAAGGCGAATTTCTTCCTCGGCAAAGCACTGGTGCAACTTGGACAGTATGACGAGGCGATCAAGGTGCTGCACCGGGCGCACGAGTTCGCCAAGAACCAGAAGTTACAGTTCGGCGACGAGGTGACGTCGGTGATACGGCTAGCGCGTCGCGAACAGTTCCGCGCTGAGGAAGAGCGTCGAATAGTGCAGGAGATCGAGCTGCAGAGCTACCTGAAGGACCTGATCCGAAAGGACAGGGACGATCGCATTAAGACGCTGAAGGACGGCGATGAGCCGTACACCAAAGACGAGGTGGTACTCGTCGAAGAGGGAGCGCAGAATCGTCTGGACCAAGTCGATCTCCTGTTTGCTGCTGTGGACGATCGTCGTCGCAAGCGCGAGGTGCCCGACTGCTTCTGCGGCAAGATCAGCTTCGATATCATGCTCGACCCGGTGATCACACCAAGTGGTATCACGTACGACCGAAAGGACATCATGGAACATTTGCAGCGAGTTGGTCACTTTGACCCGGTTACCAGAGCACCCCTACAAAGCGACCAGCTGATTCCAAACCTGGCCCTCAAGGAAGCGATCGACCACTTTTTGAAGGACAACGAATGGGCCATCGACTACTGATTTGTGCCGAAGTTATAACATGTTCGTAGTTGCAAATTTTTTGCTCTCATTTCATCCAATTTCCTGGTTGATATGGTACGCGATAGGTCATTGTTCATCACACTGGCTGATTTTGATTGTAACTGCTTATTTTCACATTGATACTCATGGTAATCTTAATCGAAGTTTGTAGTGTCTTTTGAATGTTATATAACACTGGGAATTACTTTGCATAAACTTTTTACTTTTTATTCAGTAAACTTTTATACGCGACTCGACTTGTAGTCCGTGGCTTTTGCAGCTGTCGGCTGTGTTTTGTTTGTCCTGTTCTGTCGGCGACCAATGGCTTTGCTTACTTAAAGACACTCAGTGTCCGATGCTTTGATGACGCTTTGCGAGAAACTATTCTGTTGCTTCTTCCTCGTCCAACTCTTTCTAAACCTTAGATGCTTCTTCGGCTCGACTTTCATGGGCGGATATCTGCTATGTGGCAAACGGTGAGATTCACATGACATGTTTGTGTAGTGTTGATTTGTGAAGTACGACGCGTGCTGAATAGTTTCTCCATACTTTGGTTGTTGGACTGAAATTATAGCACGGCATATTAGTTTACTGAAGGTATCGTTGTGCTAGAAGTATATCGAGTTGATAAAACTAACTAACTGTTTAGACTCTCCAAATTTTCTTCGGGACTCGCATCTGTAGCTGTTTTCGTCCACGGTTGAACGAAGGATGGCCGTCCCAGTTCAACAACCGGATCAGCTGCTGTCCATGACCTTCAGCAGTGGCCGCGTCGACACATTCCTTGAGTCATGTCTGCGAATACAGACCTCTGCTTCAGTTAGAGGCCATCAACTCAACAATAGCACTGTACTATGGTTTGTTTAATAAGTCACATTTCCTTTATTGTATTTGCAGCAAATGCCCTGCTGTTGTTTTGCAAAAGTATAGCGCTTCGTTCGTTTATGAGTAAGCATTTATGGTTAGATGCATACTTCTCTACTTCAATAACAAAGAGCAGGATTTGCGTAGAGCTGACGCATGTCTGCTAGCGGCAGTGGCAGCCGTCCAAAGTGGCATATTGAACAGAGCAATGAGAAATATCCTATTAATCATAACTGTTTTTTTTATATTTCACATTCCGCTTGCCCTAGAAACGGGATGCTGTCAGTTCTTGGATGCCACCTTAACAGAATGAGAAGGTTTTGCTCATCGCTTGGTAACCCTGAATTCACTGCTAGAAAAAGGGTTTGAAATTGTTTTAGTTCATGACTTTGAGCCGTTTACATAAGCAGGAGGTTTTTGGTCTGTGTAATTCAGACTGCTTTCGCAACTTTCAGTACTTGCTGTAGGACACCGGTTGCTGCATTGGAGAAGAAAATATTTCTTTCAGAAAGCAGATCTGCCTTTGCCTTGTTCCATGTTGCGTACTGGCCTCTTGATCGACGTCTGCCGTGTTTCGGCTCCTACATGGAAAGCTTATGAGCTGGAACAAATGGATTATGCTCAATCAGGTTGGCTAATAGGGACAACTTTTTCTTAATCGCCACATCTACATCGGTCACCTGTGCCTAGAGGAGAATAAAGTCATTCCGTATGTGGTCCTGCCATTTAACCTTCGTTTTGCGTCGAAGCCACCTCTGCTGTGTGCAAGGTGCAGAGGATTTTTGTGGAGAGAGCTATTTCTTTCTTAGCCCAATATTGGACAGGTTTCCAAAAACACTGCAAGCTGGGCCGATCCTACTATTTAACTCCGGTTGGTTGATACCATCACTGGAGATGATAGAGTCGAGGTATTGAATTGGACAACTTTCTGAAACGTTTTAACTCTTTATTCTACTTGCAGATCAGCTATGTCGGATGAATTTCTCGTAACTTGTCTTCCGGGCGTTAAGGATGATGCCGTCTTTCGCGGCTCTGTTGTGTACGGAAGCCTTCAGGTGACAGTCCACACCCCTTAACACTCATCAGGTCAGCAGCACCTGCTTACCCCAGGTCAACAAGATATCTAGCTTATATCTTGAACTTCTCATTCCCTCTAGAAGGGCACCTTCGTCATTCTCCGAGCAGTACTCAGAACTATTTTGGAGAAGGAAGTAGGAAACAATGTTAAACAGTAAAAGCGAAACTGTCTCTCCCTGGCGGACGTCACAGTTAATAGATAAGTATTGAGATAGCTATCTTTCGACTTCGATAGCAGACATGGTTCCTTCAAACAGTTTTGATTACCGTCTGTTCTTTCAGATCACGGAGGTAGATGCGTCTCTCACTCTCCTGATCCTGTTCCAGCGTTTGAACTTCGGCAAAAGATAACCCGAATCTAGAGTACTTTGAGACACTTGCCCCAGGTTATTCTTCGACCGTCCTCGGATCTTCGGTCAGATCAGTTGAGCAAATATTGGCTGTATCGTCTTTGTTTCTGGAGCCGTCCGAATTAACTCTGCTGCGATTTCTCATTCTGCAGAAGCCACGCTGTACACCAAGACTCTCTTGGATACCTGTACTCAGAACCATGCCGAGACCCTTGAGCCCAGCGATTCGTCTTACCAAGTGCATTTCATCCGCTCGTACCCGAGACTGAAGTTTTCCAATCATGGCCCACGATTCATGGCCATAAATGATCATGGGGATGAATATTGATTTGAGGGCAGACAGCTTTGTCTTCAGACTCAAGTCTGTTTTAGTCACAGCGATTCATTCAGAACGCCAGTGACCGTACCAGTTCATCTGTCGATCTCTTCTTTTTTCTACCAGCGATAAATACGATCCTTTGTACACGAACTTCTCCACCCATTTCACTTCTTCTCCGTTTTTCTGCAGAGCGCAACGGGCAAAAGAACGAGAAAGCTTTAGGTTTTTTAAGCATATTCACAAGTATGCTGGCCACGTCGCATACGATTGCGAACCTGTCCAAAGCACTGTCGTTTTTTGGAAAATTCCAACGAAACAAGATCGTCCGTAAACAGGAACCTTCGCGTATCGACATCTTCTACGCAGATACACTCGTCATCCTGACCATGTCAGAGTATTTTTCATTGTTTATCTGAAGAGCGCGACAGACAGGTTAACGAAAAAGCACTATTCTTTTCGCCGGTCACGTCGCACTCCACTGCAAACCTTTCCAGGGAGCACTGCAGATCAGTTTCAGAAGATTCTAATAAAACAAGGTCGTCTGCAAACTGCAACTTTCTCGTCTTCACATCTCCTACACCCGATACCCTCATCGCCTTGGCAGC